TTCTGACTTTTTGATTCATCAACCTTATCTTTGTCATAAGAGTTTTGCTTATCTTATTCAAATGTCTTGCTTTAGTTTCTCATCAAAGCTTTTAAGCTTAGATGATCAAACATACATTGGTGAAAGAATATAATCATGGGTTGCTGCCACTTTTATTCATCAACTAGAGTTAATTTAATACAAAAATAAGTACCTAAACAATGTCTCGAAAACGTTTTGGTGCATAAATTTTTTTTGCTAAAAATAGTATCTTAACGTTTTCTCAGTTACACTTTTAAGTGTCTATCGTTATATATATATTTTTTTAATTTTTTTAAAAAAACCTTTAAAAACCCTAATTTATTTATAAAAAATCCAAACTTTTAACGAAATTATAAAAAAAACTCTAAAAAACTAAAATATCTCATTTCAACCTCCATTACCAACTGTCGCCGGCCATTTTCGGCCAACATCGTCGCTGAACATTTGAGTTTTGATCGGAATTGCACAGTGGTTCGAATGGTGGTGGTGGTGTGACTTATGGACTTCAGGATATGGAATAGACGAAAAACAGTGAAGGTCGGGATCGAAACCGACGAACCTTTGAGTGCTTCTTTACGAAAAACGGTGGCACTTTACGACGAAAGACCAACAAGGGTTTGGTCGGGGATCGACGCTGGTGTCGATGAAGGTGGCGGTCATGGCTGGCTGGCTGGAGACCATATAAAGGAGAAGGGGAAGGGGGAAAAGAGAAGGGGGGACGCGAGGCTGGATTGTGTGTTTTTTTAATAAAAATATTTTTAAATAAATTCTAAAAATTATCAGAATGTGACACGTGTCATCTAATGATCAAATTTAACGACTATTACTATCCAAACACCTAAAAATCTCTGATGAAAACGTTAGGCACCTATTTTTAACGAATTTTTTTAGACACTAAAACGTTTTTCGAAGTAAAGTTTAAACAATTATTTTTGTATTAATCCTTAATCAAATAACTATATTAATATATGTGTGTTGAGAAATATATGCAATTCTATGGGCTAAACATCTTTTATGGCTGGATTGCCTTCATTTTCAACATGTTCACAGCATTTCATTTGACACAGACTTCGGTGCAAGAAAAATATATGATCAGTTTCAATGGATGTTAGAGAATGCATGGTCTCACGTAAAGTTCATGATCAAATATTCAAGTTACGTTGAATGTCGATTATATCTATAACATTTCACAGTATTTTATTTTTCAATTTTTGTTATTCATTTTCTAATTTAATATTATAAAGTTAGATATTTATAATATATTCATAAACATGATTTCAATACATATATTCAAAAGTTTAAATAAATTGTTTCTTATTTATTTCTAATTTTTGTAATTTAATCTAATAATTTTTATAATATGATATTTTTGTTTATTTTAGTCCCTAAATTATATTTTTATTCAAAATTAATTTATATTTATTTCTATTTTTATAATTTAATCTAAATTTTATAAATTACCTCATAGACTCCAAACCCTATAGCTCAGTCCTATTGCTAGAAGCATATAAGGATATAAGTCTATAACCAATATATATATATAGGGTAAACTACACGAAAGACCACTAAACTATGATCAAAAATCAATTTGACCATCGAAGTTTCAATTGAATCAATCAAACCACCCAACTATTTAAATGTTTCAATCAAGCTACCGGCCGCTAATTTTTCATGGAGGTGGTGACTTGTCCATTAATAAAATTGGCATAATTCTATATTGGTCCTTAATATTTACATATTTTATCAATTTAGTCATTATTTTAATTCAATTATATAAATTTAACTATCCAATTAGAATGTGACACATGCCAATACATGATTGGAAGGTTTTATTTATGAATTTTAAATTATTTAATTAAATAATTTTTCTATCCATTCATGTGGTGACACGTGTCACCACCCAATTGAAGTGAAAATAAAGGGACAAAATTGCACTCCAAGATATTCGAACCAGTGTCAGAGGGGATTATGAGCAACCAGGCGCCCAAACTTTTGAGCCAAAAGTCCCCAATGGTTTAAAATTACAACAATTTGTATTTGTCTTTGCAACCTTCTCGGCTTTGTAAGTTCACACTCTTCATCTTCTTTTGCTCTACCTCACCCAAATCACCACCTTCTCCATTAACAACAAATCGAAGTCTATAAAGTTTGAATTTTATGTTTTTTAATCCCTGAGGGTCTAGTAGAGAGAGACGACAACAATGGGATGTCGTCTCTTTTGTTATTTCGGCAAGTGTTCCTCTTCATCTTCATTAAGTACTGAAAACCATGCCAAAACCAACGAAACAGTAGATGAAGCTCCGCTCCCCGAAGGCCCGATCAAGGTGGAATTGTTTTCTTCCTAAGGTTGCGCGACGTCCTCGGTGGCTGAGCTTCTATTGTCGAGGCTAGGGAGAGACGATTTCCATCTTGAAGCTTCGTGATCGTGTTGGCTTATCACGTCGATTGTTGGGACTATAATGACTGGAAAGACCCTTACAGATCGAGTCTATGGACTGTAAGACAAAAGGCTTATATCGAAGCCTTGAAACTCGGTACCTTGTTTACACCTCAAGTTGTGGTTCAGGGTAGGGCTCAATGCATGCATGATGATGAAGATGTTCTTTTGTCCACCATTACTACTGCTCCCAAATTTCTAGCCTCATCATTCCAGGTTTGTTTTTGCTTTACTTTTCTTCGTTTTCTTTAAGCATTTTATTTTTATAACTTGGAAAAGCTGTAGTACTCTCCAATTACAGACGAATTTCCAGAGGCCGACGTCAGAGACATTGCAAGTGACACTAACAGGAGCTTTAAGGTTTAAAGCAAACAATAATGGTGTCAAAGTAATGGTAGCTTTATACGAGAATGGATTAGTAAATGACTGTTATGCGAGAGAAAATAAAGGGAAAGTTTTGTCCAATGATTTTGTTGTTAGAAAACTTGAAAAGCTCTGCAATGTGGAAGACATGGAGGCTAAAAATACCATCTCAAGGACTATTACCTTCACCCTATGGGATTGTTTAAACTGTAACAAATGTGCCATTGTTGTCTTTGCTCAAAGCAGCTCCCATCAAATTTATAGACTTCGATTTGTTGTTAATGGAGAATGTGGTGGTTTGGTTGAAATAGAGGAGAAGAAGATGAAGAGTGTGGATCTGCAAAGCCGAGAAGGTTGCAAAGACAAATACAAATTGTTGTAATTTTAAACCATTGGGGACCTTTGGCCCAATGGTTTGGGTGTATGGTTGCTCATAATCCCCCGACATTGGTTCAAATCTCATGGAGTGCAATTTTGTCTTTTTATTTTCACTTCAATTGGGTGGTGACACGTGTCACCACCTGAATGAATAGAAAAATTATTTAATGAAATAATTTAAAATTCATAACAAAACCTTCCAATCATGTTGTCGACACCCGTTTTGTATCGTTTTTACTAATAATAATATTATTATTACTATTATTATTATTATTTGTTTTTGTTTTGTTTTCAGGATACAACACCCAACCGGGCCCAGAAAAATAACCCAACCGGCCCAACAGACCCGAGCCTTAATTACAAGCCAAACCTGACCCAGAAGCAGACTTGACCCGGTACTCGAAACCTAAAACCAGGCCTAGTCCTAGCCCTAATATGCTAGGGTTTATAAACCCTAGCCGTCACTGCCACTGGTGTCAATCAAATATGTCACCCATCTTCTCCAATCCTCGGTACTCCACGTCACCACCAGTCAGTAGCTTGGTCGCTCCAACACGCCAAGATTCAAGATACTGTTTCAAACAACACGCAAAAAAAGCAAAAAATTGATGATGATGATTTCGGGATAAAAAGCCCCCGGTTTTCCTTTTCAGGGGAACGATTATGGGGTTAAAAAAGGGGAGAAAGAACAACTGAAAAAGGAAGAGAATAACTAAAAGAAAAAAAATGGATTCAAAAAGGGATCCAAATAGAAAAGAAAATGAGAATGAAAGAATAAATAAGAGAAGATGAGGCTTACCCTGTTCGTGGTTCGTCGGGGGAGAAGAAGTGCCTTGTTTTATGCATGTTCTATTTTATCCATGTTTCGTGATTTATGAAGTTGTTGTTTTTGTCTCCTAATTTTACTCATGTTGTATTTTGGTCCTTAGGTTTAGTTGTTTCGAGTTTACGCTTATTTGTACATTGGATATGTCATTTTTGGTTTTTCATTTTAATCCTTGCTTATTTTAGATACAGTTTTAAATAAGGTGGTTTATTAACATGCTTAGTCCTTACTCTTTTGTCTTGTATTGATTTGATCCTCATTTCGAAATGGTTCAAATGTGTTTTACTCCCTACACTTTTCATTGTTTTATTCCTTTTTTATATATTTATGAAATATATGATTTTGTATAAATATTTATTTTATTTATTTTATTTTTTAACTATTATATATTTATATACATGTATACATATATTTTGTATTTTATATATATAATATAATTATTTCTATCCTAATCTAAAATATATGCAAATAGATCAAATGTATATGTTGATTTTTATGATTCTTTTTTTTAAAAATTTATACATGCATACTATATTATTAATTTTTTCTATTCAAGCGTAATATACTTTAATAAATAATATTTTTGTCGACATTCATTTTCGTCCGACCACATTATATAATATATTATAAACGTTTCATTATTATGTATACATATTAAATTACACATATTAATATAGTAATGTTTTTTTTTGTTTTGGTTTTTGTCAGGCCCAACCCGCAACTCTACTGGCCAAACAACCATGCCCAGTACGTGTGCAACCTAGGTAAGTTTAGTTTTTCCTTCTACTGCCCTTTAACACCGTACAGTTAGCATGGAAGGGATGAACCACCGTCCAAACTGAGGACTCTTGGAGAGTCCTCATGGCGGCTGCAACCAAATAGACAAATCACGTTGCATTTCAATCCCATCAAAACACTAAAATCGAACCAAAAATAAGGGATTCCTATGCTATAAATTACTGCAAAAACAAGGCAATGGGGGTACAAAAACCACACTGAAAAATATGGGGAAAAAGGAATTGAAGGGAAATAGAAAGCGTTGATTCCAGGGCTACCCGACGAGATCGCAGAGCTTTGTCTTCTTCATCTTCCATATCCATACCAGTTGTTGGCACGATCAGTGTGTTGCTTCTGGAACAAGATCATAACAGGCCCCAGCTTCCTTGTATGTAAGAGATCATTATCGCTTTCTCTTCCTTATCTATTCATCTTCGCTTTCCATAAATCGATGACCAGGATACAATGGCAAGCGATGGACCTGCGATCAAACTGTTGGCTTGTATTACCTTCGATGCCTTGTCCCAAGGTTGTGTGCCCACCGGGGTTTGCTTGTACTTCGAATACACGTCAAGGCCAGCTCTACGTTTTAGGCGGTATGCGATCAGACACACAAACTTCCATAAATAAAACGATGGCTTACACCGCATCCTCAAATCAGTGGTCCATAGCGTCTCCCATGGTGACCCCACGATCTTTCTTCGCTGCTGGGAATGTCAATGGTAAGATCATTGTTGTCGGTGGAAGTGGGGGCGATTACAATGACTCAAAAACCTCCATGGAATGCTATGATCCACATACTGACACGTGGGAGCAAGTTCCTAAAATGCACGTGGAGATGTGCAGCATTTATGGTCATTATTTTAGCTGTTTGTTACGTGAGAATTGAGATTAAACAAATTCATAAGTGTTTTTGAATTTTGGGTAAATCTTATAATCGGTCCCTGTAAGTTGTACCTTTTTAACATGTTGGTCACTACAGTTTATTTTCAGTATTTTTATTTTGATTTCCAATTTTATGCATATTTTATTTTGGTCACTAATGAAATTTAATTTTTTATTTATTTATTTTCAGTCTCTTAGTTTTATAATAATTACATTTTAATCACTAATTTTGTGCATTTGATATTTTGTTTAATTGCTAGGTGATCCTTAAACATTTTTTTTCATTTTTTTAAAGAATTTAACCTTTTGTTATTATTATTATTTTTTCCTTCATTTTATTTCGTTTTTATTTATTATTATTATTTATTTTATTATTATTATTTATTATTATTATTTTCTTATTATTTTTCTTTTTTTTACTCAATTTTATTTATTTTTTATATTAATATTTTTCTTTTTTTCATATTTATTTCTATTTTCTAACATTTTTTACTTTTAGGAATGCTTTCAATCAATCAAAGGTAATTAATTCGAATCGAATTTTTAAATTTTAATTTAAATTGTAATTTTCACAATTAAAGAAAACCGACAAATTAATTGGTACCGAAAGGGCGGTTTAAAGGTGCTAATCCTTCCTTGACCGTAACCGACTCTCGAACTCGACACGTTTCTGGTAAAACGAATATCAGGTAAGATGGTGTCCGACCCATCTAAATTCGTTTTAAAATGGTCGGTGGCGACTCCAATCCACATTTTTCAAGTCGAAGCCCAATTCTGGGGCCCAACCGAAAGACGGTTGCGACAGCTTGGCGACTCTGCTGGGGACAGGTAAGTGAGTTAGGCCGAAATTAATTTTCGGTTGTCTTTTTATGCGAAAATGGTAAATTTAAATTTATTCATTCGATTCCAATTACTTACCTTTGATTATTTTTCAAATAAATAGTTGTACTGACATTTTTTTGATGATTTTAGATTTTCAAAATTTTCATCTAAGGCTCTATACCCGAGCTCTGAACCCTATTTAAGTGGGGGTGAAAGCAACGCCTTCGTGTGAATTTATTCTCCGTATGGGCCTAGCAAGTAACCTTCGGGATTCATATACCTTGTGCCTTCGTGTGAATTTATTCTTCGTATGGGCATAAGGGAATATATCTTCCCGAGTTTAACTTGGTCCACATAAGCCTGTGATGGGTTTAAGATTAAGGGTCTGGCAAGCCCAAGGGGGCGCCAACAAGGAGAACTCGGGTACCATTTTTAGAACCTAAAACGGGAGACTATGGAGAATTAGAGCTCATTTCGAAACCTCATTGCAAACCCTAGGCCGCTTTGATATTATTTCCTGCTTTATTTCATGTTCAAAGCATGTGAACTAGAAATTTATGTGGTTAGGACTTGTTCAAAATCAACTTGCGGGATAGAGATCATGTCCGGGTAGGAATAATAAGCATGTGGGGTAGATATCATGTGGTGTAGGACTTTTTCATGATTGTTTTGATTATTATCTTTACCTTACTAACTCTTTTCATTTTTTCTCTATTTTATTTTATTTTCATCATCTGCATCATTCAAAAGAGGTGTTGATCCACCAAAAAAAGGTGTTCGTTAACCATAAATAATTTGCATTAATGGACAAAGGGGTTGTAATACAAGAGGTCAAAGAACGCAGGGGTCCGATTATGGTCAGAAAAGACTCAGACAGAAAAGGAGGACAATCTGCAAGGCAACTATGTGTCACATTCGATCAAGAAGACGTGGTGCCCATAATCAAGTACATCGAAAGTTAAATTTTTAAAAATGGGTTGACAAAGGTGGCAGGGGCAAGACGAGAAAAAAGTTTACTAACCTCGAGATTCCGTTCAAATACAACAAGAGAAAAATAGAAAAATAATAGCTGAATTGGAAGTCATTGTCAACAAATTCAAGAAATAAGCAAATGAACTTTGGATAATCCCTTTGATGGAGGATTTCAATGGAGTTTCCGATTCAGCAAAGGATAAAAGCTAGAGATGCAGTCATTCGATACTTTTGGGAACAAGTACAAAAAACAGCTCGTCACTTGCACGGTTCACCCAGAGAAGCCGGAGCGGTTCGACAGGGTATTCGACCGATGACAGACGAAGGCAAAAGACTAGTCAACCTGTTTCGGGTTCTAGAGGATTTAGTCCAGATATACCTTTAAATATGTTTATTGTCTCTTAAAAGATAAAACACTTTTGTCCCAATAAAGATTATTTATAATAATGGACACGTTTCTGGATCAATGCCTCGAACATTTTATGCATTCTTGCATTCTGCATTTTTGCATCTTCATTTCATTTTTAAGCATTTTCATAAATATGAAATTTCTTCATAGAGGATTCGATGAAGTGTTTTAACCACATGACACCACCTGGAAGCAAGATTGTAACAATTAAAAAAACTGAAATCAGTACAGTGGGAGCCCGATCAGCTGGTTGTATGACTAATCCTGCCAGGATGATATGAGAAAAGAGTCTACATATCCTAAGGGTTACGATGTTGAAGCTATTTGCAGTTGCCACATAGGATGCTCCAACATTCCTCTGAGAACTATAAGGCGCTGAAGCGCAAGATCCAAAACCTGATGGATTCAGGGGCATGGACAGCCGAAGAAGGGGGCATTGCATATACCATTTGCACCTAGATGATTGTTTTGTTTGAACACGTCTTTGATCTTTTGCTTAATCTTTTAAATGATTGAATTTACGCTACTTTCTAAAGTTGAGCAATTGAACAAATTTTTATCTTTAGATCTTCGAATATTAAATGAATTAAGGATTCTTTTAATTCTTCAAGAATTATAGATTTTTGACCCAAAATAAAATACCTTGATTCTTTACCCAAAATAACTCATGGTCATTACCAAAAGACAAAATTTTGACATTACCCCATTTGAAATTCTTGAACATTGCCTTTATCTTTTCGATACACCCATACCTTTCTTTGAGTCAATAAAGTCACACCATTGTCTTTTTAGACTCAAAATTGACTTTTTTATACCATTAAAACCCAAGGCATTGAGTTGTTCATTTGAACATGAACATTCTTCTAAGACACAACTTGGGGCATCTCGCTGGGAGCCTAAACATTGACACATGTTGGGAGCAAGAAGTAGAAAAAATAATTCATTCGAAATAATTCTATCATGCATTAATTACACTATTTTCATGTGAATAGAATTAATCCTGAAAATCTGTCCCCCTGGGGATACCTCTTCTGTGAGGACTCTCATGTATGAAATGATGAACGGCTTTATTTCTTTATCCCTTCACAATAGGAGAAAATATATATCCCTTGTGTCCCCTTTTGAGCATATAGTATTTTTCTTCTGATTCAACCCTAACCAAGGATCACCCTCCACACTGAGGGGCAAGGTGGAGAAAATCTGCTCACATGAGTGAAGACATTGATTCAGATGAGATACCGAAAGGTGAACCAAATGCCAAGTGCGAAGATTCAATCAGAACAAAAAGGGCAAAAAGAAAAAAAGAAAAGAAGCAAAAAAGGAAAAAACAAAAGAAAAAAGAAAGAACAAAAATCAAAAGGAAAAAGGGACAGAAAGCACATGCAAGGATTCCCTAAAAACAAATGGCACATCAAGCTTCAAACTATGAGATTGATCAAGCACAATCATTCCTGAATCACTGAATCACTTCACTCGAAGATCATAGAGCATCAAGAGAGAGATACATTTTGAGTAAGACAAGATTGAAGGCATCAGAATGAATAGATTCTTGGTTCAAAACCCTGTAACACTTGTTTGGGCCTATTTATCCCTTTCTTTGATAACCATGAGCCCTGGCCTACATTACGTGCCTTAAAAGTCTCTTCTAATCATACATGGATTTTTAAACAGAAGAGACTATCTTCAGATTTCATCCCGCCCATCAGGATTAATCTTTATTTGCAAAAAACAATATAATTAATGCATGATAGAGAAATATAACAAAGGGGGTTCAAGACGTAAATTCTGAATGATGTATTGAAACCAAAGGAGGATTCGAGTTGAAAACCTGAAATGGCGGCTCGAATATAAAAATTGGGCAGCTGAGGCGATCGCACAAAATCGCACAATCCAAGTGTGACCATGAAGGTTGGGAGTCGGAGAACACTTCCAGTAGAGGAGCATACAAGCTACCCCATCAAACATTTAAACCTCAAATAAACAAAAATGTCAAACCTTTGACCAAACACAATAACCTGAGACTTTTTTATCCTTTCCTTACTTAACCATTTCCCAAAGATGGCTTTGATCTTGGCACTTGTCAAATAGCTATAATTTATTGAAGGATTAACATTGTAATTAATTCTTTGATATCCAATGAACTCTAGTTTTATGATTCGTCTTATTGTAAAACCATGAAAGTGGCAACATTTTCAAAACTTCTGATTAAACATTTTTCGAAACTCTTTTAATTGATATTTTCAAAACTTTGAAAATAAAAGAGAAAGAAAAACATTTTCAAACAAGAAAGTCTCTCTAGAGTGGATCTTGGTAAATGACATGTGATTCTCAAACACAAAGCTCATGCTTAGAATCAATGATGAAGCAAGATATGAGGAACATTTGGGGCATCTTTAAAGATTCAACATCAAATATTGGGGCATTTTTGGATATTGGGGCATCTTTGGGGATTCAACATCCTAATGCGAATTATCATACCTTTTTCAGGAGATAAAATATAACCAATTCATGTTACATGCATTTTATGCATACATTTTAGAGCGTCATATTTATCATTTTTTTCACATACATAATTTTTGCAGCTTTTAGAGTCAAGTTTCGACTTTAAGGCGAAGGATACTCGATTCAAAAGCACCTTTAAAGATTGATGTTGGTTGCTTAACTCAGCAGCAAGAAGCTACACTTTAACCAACTCGACAGATTGAAATATCGAAATTCATCTTCAGATTCAACATTTCCAATATAAATTTTGTCTCGCTTGAGACAGTCTCATTTAATGCAGATGATTATCTCACTTGAGATTGCTTTTCTTAAAACAGACTTTGTCTCACTTGAGACTGTTTTACTCGAAAGAAGATTTATTTCACTCAAAATTGTTTTTCTTAAAACAAGATTTGTCTCGCTTGAGACCGTTTTCACTAGAAAGAAGGCATTTCATTTCACTCAAGACTGTTTTTAAAGAAGATTTTATCTCGCTTGAGATAGTTTCCCTTGAAACAAATTTTGTCTCCCTTGAGACAGTTTCTCTTGAAACATAAACTTTGTAAACAATTTCCCTTGAAACAAAATCTTTGAATATGTTTTCCTTCAAACAAATTTTGTCTCCCTTGAGACAGTTTCTCTCGAAACAACACAATTTGCTTGAGAGTAGATTTCAACTTCACGACGAAAGATATCTAGCTCGAAGCCAAACTTTACAATAAAGGGGTCTCCACGGTTTCAACTTCACGGCGAAGGGAATTGTGTCCACCCGTAACATACAATACTTGGATTTCAACTTCACGACGAAAGATATTCAAGTCAAGGCTCAACTTCACGACGAAGGGGCCATCCGCGATTTCAACTCCACGACGGATGATATCATGCCACTCGAGACAACACAAGTTCAACTTCACAACGAAGGGATGACTGGTTGTCAATAAACAATTTCTCAATTTCGGAGCCAATTTCAACTTCACAGCGAAGGATATTGGATTCGAGACAACACAAGTTCAACTTCACAACGAAGGGACGGCTGGTTGTCAACAAACAATTTCCCGGTTCCAGAACCAATTTCAACTTCACGGCGGAGGATATGGACTCGGAACAATACAACTTACTTGGATTTCAACTTCACGACGAAGGATATCAAATTCCAGACTCAACTTCACGACGAAGGGGTCACCCGCGATTTCAAATTCACGATGAAGGGAATCGTGCATACAAGTAGCACCCATTTTTAGAGTGGATTTCAACTTCACGGCGAAGGATATTCAACTCAAAGAAAGAGTGTCTGTCAACACACTTTTCAGTTTCAGAGTCAATTTCAACTTCACGGCGAAGGATATTGGCCTCGAAACAATGCAACTTGCATTGGATTTCAACTTCACGACGAAGGATATCCAATTCTCAAGCTCAATTTCACGACGAAGGGGCCATATACAATTCCAACTTCACAAACAGATTGACCCAACATCACGACGAATGAGTCATCTGTAACACAGCAACACCGAAGTCTTTGGGACAAGTTTCACATTCACGACAAAGTATCTTGAGCCAGAAGACGATCCAAGAGTTACTTTCTGATACTTCGAGTTCGATCTCAACTTCACGACGAAGGATTTCGTGCTTAGAATTTTCCAGTTTTTACTCAACCTCACGACGAGGGAGTCATTTCGTGTCTTAAATTGACAATACCAGCCTTAATATCGGATTTCAACTCTATGACAGTGGATATTCGATAGGGACGAAATTTGTGTCTTGTAGTCTTTGCTCTATTTTTGTTACACGATAATGAGCAAAGAGGGGCAGCTGTCGACACTCATTTTCGTCCGACCACATTATATAATATATTATAAACGTTTCATTATTATGTATACATATTACATTACACATATTATTATAGTAATGTTTTTTTGTTTTGGTTTTTGTCAGGCCCAACCCGCAACTCTACTGGCCAAACAACCATGCCCAGTACGTGTGCAACCCTAGGTACGTTTGGTTTTTCCTTCTGCTGCCCTTCAACGCCGTACAGTTAGCATGGAAGGGATGAACCACCGTCCAAACTGAGGACTCTTGGAGAGTCCTCATGGCGGCTGCAACCAATTCACGCTCCGAATCATCCGGCGTATCATGGGTTTTGTGAACCAAATAGACAAATCACGTAGCATTTCAATCCCATCAAAAAACTAAAACCGAACCAAAAATAAGGGATTCCTATGCTATAAATTGTTGCAGAAACAAGGCAATGGGGTACAAAAACCACACTGAAAAATATGGGGAAAAAGGAATTGAAGGGAAACAGGAAGCGTTGATTCCAAGGCTACCCGACGAGATCGCAGAGCTTTGTCTTCTTCATCTTCCATATCCATACCAGTTGTTGGCACGATCAGTGTGTTGCTTCTGGAACAAGATCATAACAGGCCCCAGCTTCCTTGTATGTAAGAGATCATTATTGCTTTCTCTGCCTTATCTATTCATCTTCGCTTTCCATAAATCGATGACCAGGATACAATGGCAAGCGATGGACCTGCGATCAAACTGTTGGTTTGTATTACCTTCGATGCCTTGTCCCAAGGCTGTGTGCCCACCGGGGTTTGCGAATACACGTCAAGGCCAGCTCTACGTTTTAGGCGGTATGCGATCAGACACACAAACTTCCATAAATAAAACGATGGCTTACACCGCATCCTCAAATTAGTGGTCCATAGCGTCTCCCATGGTGACCCCACGATCTTTCTTCGCTGCTGGGAATGTCAATGGTAAGATCATTGCTGTCGATGGAAGTGGGGGCGAGTACAATGACTCAAAAACCTCCGTGGAATGCTATGATCCACATACTGACACGTGGGAGCAAGTTCCTAAAATGCACGTGGAGATGTGCAGCATTTATGGCCATTATTTTAGTTGTTTGTTACGTGAGAATTGAGATTAAACAAATTCATAAGTGGTTTTGAATTTTGGGTAAATCTCATAATCGGTCCCTATAAGTTGTACCTTTTTAACATATTGGTCACTGCAGTTTATTTTCAGTATTTTTATTTTGATTTCCAATTTTATGCATACTTTATTTTGGTTACTAATGAAATTTAATTTTTTATTTATTTATTTTCAGTCTCTTAGTTTTATAATAATTACATTTTAATCACTAATTTTGTGCATTTGATATTTTGTTTAATTGCTAGGTGATCCTTAAACATTTTGTTTTTCATTTTTTAAAGAATTTAACCTTTTGTTATTATTATTATTTTTTCCTTCATTTTATTTCGTTTTTATTTATTATTATTATTTATTTTATTTTTATTATTTATTTTTATTATTTTCTTATTATTTTTATTTTTTTACTCAATTTTATTTATTTTTAATTTTTTTATATTAATATTTTTCTTTTTTTCATATTTATTTCTATTTTCTAACATTTTTTACTTTTTAGGAATGCTTTCAATCGATCAAAGGTAATTAATTCGAATCGAATTTTTAAATTTAAATTTAAATTCTAATTTTCGCAATTAAAGACAACCGACAAATTAATTGGTACCGAAAGGGCGATTCAAGGGTGCTAATCCTTCCTTGACCGTAACCGACACCCAAACCTGACACGTTTCTGGTAAAATGCAGATCAGGTAAGATGGTGTCCGACCCACCTAAATTCGTTTTAAAATGGTCGATGGCGACTCCAATCCACATTTTTCAAGTCGAAGCCCAATTCTGAGGCCCAACCGAAAGACGGTTGCGACAATTTTATATGTATATTTTATTGGTATTATTATTTTATGCATGTTTTGTATGTAAATATATTATTTGGTGCATATCGGCCTAGGATCTATTTTAATTAATTTGTATAGTACCCTCATAATCATCCCTTGACTGGAATCGAAATAAATTGACTAAGGGTAATATTCTTTCATTTTAATATTGTCGTAAAGTGACTGTCTTAACGTATAAGAAGGTTACTTTCGAAAATTTTAAAATGAAAGTATATCTCATTTAGTGACATGAATTAAATCGAACCCATTTTAAAATTCAGAGTGGGAAAAAGATCATTTTCTTTCAATTAAATTCACCGAAAAAAGATTATTAGATCGAATCTAAGGTCTCGTCTCCAGGTATTTAAATAATTGAACATCCTTATTCTCATTAAATATAGGTAAAATAAATAATTAATTTTACTTGCTTGATAAATACTTTTAATTTGCTTTATTTTTGCATGTGTTCTCCGGTGGATTTTCGAAATAATAACACCCGAATTGATATTGAGAATAGTAATATCTTTTCACTTTGGTTTGAGTAATAAATGACTGCTCTAAGTCATGAGAGGTCATTTATTATCGATTGGAAATAATTCGATATTATCATTCTCTCTCTAATTAATATTGATTTTTAAGATTGAATAAATGATATCTCCTCATTTCGGTTGGAGCAATAAACGACTGCTTTAAGATATGAGATGTCATTTATTCTAGATTGGAAATCATTAGATATTATCATTTTCACTCAAATCGATATTGAATTTTAAGACGGAATAGTGATATCTCTTCATTTCGATTGGAGTAATAAATAATTGTTTCAAGGTATGAGAGGTCATTTATTCTCGATTGGAAATAATTAGATATTATTGTTTTCTCTCTTAAAATTATTTTGGGTGTTGTTATTTTGAATTACTAATGAACTTTAGAATAGAATTTTAATATTTCTTTATTTCGATTGGAGTAAGAATCGATTGCTTTAAGGTATAAGAGATCGATTCTTCTCAATAGGAAATAATTAAATATTATCATATTTTATCCAAAAATTCAGAGAATATTTTTGTAGGGGATATTAAATTAAATTTGACTCGAACTCATAAAACTCATTGCAAAGACAATTAATTAATAGACTAGGTACCGATTTAGGGCGTTGTGGGGTGTTAATCCTTCCCCACACGTAACCAACTCCCGTACTCGAATTTTGGTAACGCATACCACAAGTTTATTATTTTATTTAAAATTATTATTTTATTAAAATGACAAATATGTTTTTTGGGTGCCCAATCACACCCTAATCAAAGATTGGTGGCGACTCCTTGAACCATGTTTTATCATTAACCGTTCACCAAAAAATTATTTCGAAACGAGACCCCCTTTTCCCCTTTTCAAAAAAAACCATTTCGACACATGTGTTAACACGTGTCACGTTGTAATTGGATAGTTAAATTTATTTAATTGAATTAAAATAGTGACTAAATTGATAGAACATGTAAAATTAAGGACCAAATATAGAACTATGCCAATTTTATTAACGTACACGTCACCACCTCCTTTAAAAATTAGCGGCCGGTGACTTGATTGAAACATTTAAATAGTTGGGTGATCTGATTGATTAAATTGAAACTTCAGTGGTCAAATTGGTTTTTGACCATAATTTAGTGTTCTTCCATGTAGTTTAACCATATATATACATATACACAATACAATTACAATTAGACGTCATTCGTGAAAAAACATAAAATATTCACCCCCAAATGATCTAAACTCAAATTAATTCAATCCAAATCCGAATTGAGGCTGATTTGAAATTAACATGACAATTACTCGAAACTGAGTTGATTTAGACCTGGCCTGACTTGATTTAGACCCAACCTGACTCGAGTCAAAAAATTAAATTAACCTAATATAATTTGTATTTGATTTGACCTGGCCTGACGTAAAACTCGTTCGATTACCTGATTTTACATCACTAATCACACAGACAATGAGATTTAATTTGATTTAATAATACAATTAGTAATTTAATCTCAAATTGATCATAATCTAAATAATAAAAACAGGAAATGATTAAAACTTGAATCTAAACCCATAATAACCAAACTTGAAAAACTTAAATATCAATCTTGAATGATCCAAACACCAAAATAATAGAAAACTAAACGAACCGAACTTGAAATCAAACCAAACCCAAAGCATCATAAATCTAAAATCATCTCAAACGGAAATGATTTAAAATTTTAAAATCTGAATTAATCTGATCCAACTTGATCTAAACAACTTAAGTTACGGGTTTAATTTGAACATAAGAAAGAGGAATTGTTGTTGTTTAACCAATATCAAACCATGGGTACAGCTTAACATATAGCCCAACCCAATGAGTATAATATTTGGACTGAACTTTTATTATCTAGACCAGGCTTGTAGCCAGGTTTCCCTTTAACAATTACCCGGTCTTTAGGGCTAAGATTTATCTTGGTATTGGGTTACTTGCATCTGGAGTCAGAGTGGACGGATGGAGATAATTGTTTTTTTTTTAAATTTTAAATTAATAAATATTTTTTCTATATTTTTCAATTTATAATCTATTTTTGTCATTCTTAAAATTTTATAAATTCATTTTTTTTAATTTTTAAAATTTCACCTTAACATAAAATTATTCGTGAGCGATACATCGAGTTCTTTTACATTATCCTATGAACATCGTTTTCATGAGGGATTTCTCAAAATATTATGCTCCAAATCTTGGCAACAAAACAAAGTTCCATTCATGAGAGAAACCCAAAAGACGTGGTTTAGTCCCAACCACGTAACTTGCGTTTCACCTTTTACTTTTACAATTTTTTAATTTAAATACCAAACTCATATACCCTGTAATTATATCCCAAAAAAAAGATAAGTTTAAGATTGAATAGTACACCAAATGAATTTTTCATAAAAAATTGTTATTAAATAAGTCTTTCAAATTATAATAAATGTTAAATATGTCGACAACTATTAAATTTAAGAAGATGGCGGAGGGGAGAAGAAATAGAAAGAAAGAGGGACTGCATTAGTATAATATTGAAATATTGATATTTTTTTTAAAAAAATTAAGATCAAATTAAAATAATGTTTAAAAATTGATGACTACTTTTTTTATTATTTCAATTTTATTGATTGTCATGCCTTTAAATTTTAACAACAACGGACTACCTTGTTATGCTTTAAATTTTAATGATTATTTTATAATTGTAAATAATCAAAGGACTCAATAGAAAAACTATCTATAATCGAGATATTATTTGCAAAATTTACTCTTAAATAAATACCCAATTTATCAACAGCTCTCTGCCTCCGTCTAATATTCAATGCCCAACAAAATCTTCCCTATTACCCAAATTCAATCGCAAACACCAAAATCAGAAACTTTAGCTTTCTTCAATGAAACGGAGTTCACCAGATTCTCCGGTCGCCGGCTCCGACCAGAAAATGAAGAAAATTAAAGAAGAAGATGAAGATGGAAAAACTGGGTTGATGAATTTAGATGAAAATCTTTTGTACGAAGTCTTCAAGAACGTCGATGCGAGGACTTTAGGTAGGGCCTCGTGTGTAAGCAGGCTGTGGAGCCAAACCGCCAAAGACGAGCGGCTTTGGGAGCTGATCTGCACTAGGCACTGGGCTAACATCGGCTGTGGAACTCAACAGCTTAGATCTGTTGTTTTGCCACTCGGCGGCTTCCGGCAGCTTCACTCGCGTTACCTTTGGTCGTTTTCCAAGCCGCAAACCGCTTCGGCTTCGTCTTGGGCTCCGCCCAAGATTATTAGCTCCAAACCGCCTGCTGGATGGGGGAAAGATGAGGTTAATCTTTGCTTGTCTCTTCTCTCTATTCAGTTTTATGAGAAGATGAATAATAGAGGCAGGTAGATAAATCTCATTAATTACTTACTACTATTACTCTATAGCTTTATATAATAAGTGAATCATATATCACTTAATTTCTCTTTTCTCTAGTTTTGGATTTTGTTTTGATTTCTTATATTTCTTTTTGTGATTCCTATAGTTTTAGATTTTTTTTTTCAGTTAAGCTTGGGTTTTTGTAAACTGTATCTGTTACTCTGTGTTAATGTTTAAATTATGAAATGAAACAAATTGTTCCATAAAATTTATGTTTATCGGCTTTCAAAGTGTATTGAGGGGAAAGATTAAAGCCTGGATAGGCAGAAAAAGATGAACAAGGGTCCAATCGACTAGTATTTACCTGCATAATTTTATCTGCCATTTGTTTTTCCCATTCCCAGATTGTGAGAGACAGTAGCATTTGGGTTTTAGTACTTTTCATTGCAATTCAGATCAGTTTCTAAAAACAAGTTCTGGGTTTTGGCTGCATTCCATGAAAAAAAAATTGGGTTTTGTTTTTGATTAAGTTAGGATATAATTTTTAATTATTTGATATTGAATGTTTATATTTTTAATATTTATAGGGTTCGATCTAAAACTTTACAAAAAGATAATCATTATTTTATCACCTAAATCTTTAGTTATCGTAACGAAGAACTATCCCAAGTTAAGCAGTGTTGTAGGCGTCAAACTGTGACTGCTAGCGGGGTTGCCATAATTGTTGGTATTGGAATGGTACCGGTATTTTTGTCGTTTTCTGGTGCGTAGTTGGAATCAATAATGAGATTATTTATAGCTTCAAGAAAGCTCAGGCCTTGAATGTTTTGGGGTATCTGGTTGAGGCATGTGGATTTGACTCCAACCCTACGTAACTTGTCTTACATGTTTAGTTCTACTTTTGTACTCTTTTTTCTCAACAAGACAACCTACAGGGAACCAAACAATTTGTTTTTAGTGTAAACTACATAAATGGACGTACAACTTTTCAGATATTTACATTTTGGTCATCAAACTTTTAGAACTTGGAATATAGTTATTGAACTTTTAGTGTAGTCATTGTTGTTGATAGCACCACTGATGAACATTATGTTGCTGAATCCAAATACCATTTTACTACTATGTCCTCTTCGTTGCATAGAATACAAAGTATAAAACATCAACTTTTTAATATCTTGAATATCCTTTCATGAAACGTTAAATTCTCAAATCAGAGTCAAATAAGCAGAAGAAAAGATAATGCACAAAAATCAGTTTTTGATTTTAGGTGAGCATCATAAAGTTGAACCTTTTAGTACCGTCAAAGCTTTGTGGTTGTGGATTAACTCGCGAAACTTGTAGTGGGGTTAAGCTGGGAGGTACGGTGAGGTGGTGGGCTCGGAGTCGGGTGTTGAAGAGAAAGGTTCGATCATGGAAGAAAAAGGAGGAGATAGAAAAAGATAATGTCTCACGTCAGTTTTTTTAGTATATTAAATATGATTATAATACGAAATTTTGGGATCTAGTTAGAGTAAGAATTGGTACACGCTTATTTCAAAATGAAAAAAAGAAGAAGAATTGGTACAAGCTTAGCGTGAACAATGTTATTGCTTAAAATAAGCTCAAAATGGTCATTAAAATATAAAACCCGTAACATTAGAAAGGGCTTTAACTAATTGATTATTATTCAAAATTTATTGGCCAAGGGCCAGGTGTTAAGTGGCCCTTGAGGTGTGCGATGCGACGCCAAGTTCTGGGCTGACCTACATACCCCAAATCCAATCCCCTTGCTTTCATTTCGTTCACAACTTAAAAAGAAACTAACAAGGTCAATTGAGTGGTTGGATTCAAGTTTATTTTATGTATGGGTTGATTTTAGGTTTAGATTTATGTTCTTCATGTTTTTCAGTTGAAGTTTTCAAGTTGAATCATTTATGTTTGTATTATTTAAATTTTACATTCAAGTTTGAATTATTTTTCGATTTGAATATTTGTGTTGAAAAGTCATTATCAAGTGGCCAAAATTGGTGGCCTAATTTTCCACCGAAAGGTGATTTGAAAATTAGAAATAATAATTCACCTAAAATGTTGAAAAAAAGTGGAATGGAAAAATTAATTTTAGTCATTAGACTTTAGAGTATTTACAAGATTAGTCCTTAAGCTTTAACTATAAATACCCTAGCTCATTTAGCTTCAAAACCATCCCAAAGCATTCTAGTCCAATACTAGAGAAAATTTAGAGAGTTTCTTGAGAGTTGTTTTCTCCTTTTTATCAAGAGAGAATTATCATTGTTTTCTCCTTGGTAGATCGAAGGCGTTGTAATTCCTATTTTCTCATAGTGAAATTCTTCTACCATTGCCCGTGGTTTTTACCCTATATTATTTAGGGGTTTTCCACGTAAATTTTGTGTCTTCTTTATCTTTATTTTTTATTTTCTCAAATTATCAGTTGCGATTTTGCTCTATCCGATAGCCGTCTTCCGCAACAATTGGTATCCGAGCCAGATTTGAGTGTGTAATATATGCTTATTGTCTTTGTGGTTGCCACCAAAAGGTGGATAACATAAGAAAGTAACAAGGTATTACCCATTCTTTGAAGGTTCCAGAGAACTATTCACGATAGTGAAATAGTGAGAGCTATCCGAAATAGAAGCTATGGCAACGAAATTTGATATTGAAAAGTTCAATGGGAGAAATTTCTCATTATGGAAATTAAAGATGAAGGCCATCATGAGGAAAGACGAGTGTCTAGCGGCTATCAGTGAAAGGTCGGTGGATTTCACAGATGGCAGCAAATGGAACGAGATGGATGAGAATGCTATGGTAAACTTTTATCTAGCATTAACAGATGAAGTATTGTCAAGCATCGAGGAAAAGAAGACAACTAAGGAGATATGAGATCATCTCACCAAATTGTACAAGGCCACATCGTTGCATAATAAAATTTTCCTTAAAAGGAAATTGTACACTCTCCGGATGCCAGAATCTACTTCAGTGACGGAGCACTTAAACACACTGAACACGTTATTTTCTCAGCTTACATCCTTAAGATGTATAATAGGAGAACAAGAACGTGCTGAACTTCTACTTCAAAGTCTACCTGATTCGTATGATCAACTCATCATCAACTTGACAAACGGTAATGTCACCAGTCTAGTCTTCGATGACGTTGCAGCTACTGTTCTCCAAGAAGAAAATCGGCGCAAAAACAAGGAAGACAGACAAGTAAATCTGCAACAAGCAGAAGTGTTGACAACGATGAGAGGGAGATCAACAGAACATGGCCAAAGCAGCAGTCACAAACATGGTAGATCGAAGTCAAGAAGCAAGAAGAATTTAAAGTGCTACAATTGTGGAAGGAAATGACACTTGAAGAAGGATTGTTGGAGTCTAAATAAAAACTCCAATCCACAAGGCAATACCGCAAACACTTCAGATGATGGAGATGCTCTATGTTGTGAAGCGTCAACCACCGTAGAAGGCAGAAAAAGATATGCAGATATATGGCTCATTAATTCAGGAGCAACATATCACATGACCTCAAGAAGAGAATGGTTCCATCATTATGAACCTATCTCAGGAGGATCTGTGTATAGTTGCAATGATCATGTCTTAGAGATCATTGGCGTGGGAACCATCAAATTGAATATATATGATGGAACAATTAAAGTTGTTCGAGATATGCGGCACGTAAAAGGCCTGAAGAAAAATTTATTATCTTACGGATTGTTGGATAATAATGCAAGTAAGATTGAAACACGGAAAGGAATTATGAAAGTGTTCCGTGGAGCGCTTGTGGTGCTGAAAGGCGAAAAGATAGCAACAAATTTGTACATGCTGAAGGGAGAGACTTTGCTAGAAGCAGAAGCCTTTGTTGCCTCATGTAGTTCAGATTCTGCAATGCTATGGCATCAGAAACTTGGACACATGTCAGAACAAGGAATGAAAGTCCTTGTGGAGTAAAAGCTACTTCCAGGCTTAACAAAGGTATCACTTCCTTTGTGTGAGCATTGCATAACAAGTAAGCAACACCGGTTGAAATTCAACACATCAAATTCTAGAGGCAAAAATGTTCTAGAATTTGTTCACTCTGACGTATGGCAAGCACCAGTTACATCCCTGGGCGGAGCAAAATACTTTCTCTCATTTATTGATGATTACTCCAGGAGATGTTGGGTGTACCATATTAAGAAGAAGTTAGATGTGTTTTCAACTTTCAAAAACTTCAAAGCGCGGGTGGAACTTGATTCTGGAAATAAGATCAAGTGTTTCAGAACAGATAATGGAGGAGAATACACAAGCGAAAAATCTTTCTGGGCAGAAGCAGTCAATACCGCCTGTTATTTGGTGAATCGAGCTCCATCAACTATAATAGAGCTGAAGACACCAATGGAGATGTGGACTGGTAAACCAGCTGATTATTCAAACCTCCATGTATTAGGAAGTATTGTGTACGTGATGTACAACTCCCAAGAAATCTCAAAGCTGGATCCAAAATCCAGGAAATGCAAATTCTTAGGGTATGTTGATGGAGTCAAGGGGTATTGCTTGTGGGATCCCACTGCCTGCAAAGTGATCATCAGCAGGGATGTTATCTTTATATAAGATAAACTACAAAGAAAAGAAGACGATGATAGCGTTGAAAATTCAGATACTACACAGATACATGTGGAAAAAGAGGTTGAACAAAGAGATTCTTCAGAAGTAGAACCATCACATGATGAACAAGAACCATAGAGTTCTGAAGCTCCAACAACTAGTCAATCAGATCGTGTGAGAAGACGTCCCAATTGGCACTCAGATTATGTTATAGAAGGAAATATTGCATATTGCCTTTTAATAGAGGACAGTGAGCCATTAACATACCAGGAGGTAATAAACAGCTCAGATGCTTCATTATGGATGATGGCGATGCAAGAAGAAATTGAAGCCCTTCATAAAAATAATACATGGGACCTTGTGCCACTACCACAAGGAAGGAAGTCAATTGGTAACAAATGGGTCTTCAAAATCAAGTGAAATGGTGACGATCAAGTTGAGAGGTATCGTGCAAGACCGGTGGACAAAGAATATGCTCAAAAAGAAGGTATTGATTTCAATGAAATATTTTCTCTTGTGGTTCGACTAACAACAGTTCGAGTAGTTTTGGCAATGT